GGGGGGGGGGGGGGGGGGGGGGGGGGGGGGGGGGGGGAAGGCTGCCACGTGCCATCGCGACGACCTGTGCCGGCCTGACAGGACACACAGACACCACGGGATGAGCGAAATGCGCCCTCCTGACCCCATGGATGACCGAGAGGCACTCCCGACCTCCCCATCGGTGCATGAGCCCTGTGCGTGCGGTGTGCACCCCCTCACCATCGGGTGGGAGCCTTGAGGAAGCTGTGCAGCTCCTGAGGGAGGTCCCTGACCTCCGTTGGAATGCATCGGTCAATTCGTTGGGGGCTCGCACCATATGGGGGCCACGAGATCGCCTGAACCAAGCCAGCAGGCGATTCAATTGATATTCACTGTGATGATTCGTGGCTCCTCTGTGCCTGAGTGAGGCCATCCATCGGTCCTCATGACCTCTGCAATGCTCTCACACACGCCCAGCGGCCTTCAGCAGACAGCCACAGACTCAATCGACTCGGGCTTTGAAGGGTTGCCGACGGCCAACGCGTTGAGTGGATGATCACATGCAGCCGATATAAAATGCAGGCGGCGATTGAGACGCCTGACGAGCAAAGACATACAGAACACCAGCGAGACACGTCTTGGATGAACGTCTCCTCATGTCTCTCCTTCTCTCGTGCTCACTCTGTGAACGCCTGGTGGAGTGAGTACCCGACTGGCATGCCGACTGGGTGGAATCGTGAGGACCGATTCTCGCCACAAGACCACCAAACACCTCCGCCGCCCCATATCCGAAACCCGTGATAAGAGGGACGTTCAAATATAAAATGTAAGCAGCAATTGAGGCGCCTGACAACGAGAGAGAGAGAGAGAGTCAGATGTGATGGAGAATGACGTATGTCCTCATTATGTGCTCACGCTCAAGAAGCCTCTTCGCCTGTCTTCCTCGCTGCTGCTGGGAAGGGGCGGGAAGGGCGGGTGGGGACGCAGATGGGGGGACGGTGGATGTCGCATTGTTGGTGGCGTTGTTGGTGTCGTCGACCATATTGTACACCCTTCCTCTGTTGTCATCCCGCCCCTCAACGACGACGCCGTTGGCTGACGAAAGCAAAAAAGTAACGAAAGCAAAGAAGTAGCCAGATGCATGTGAGTACTGCATGGCGTCTGCTTTGCCTACTCATCACTTACCAATCAACGCCTGCATCTCCGTCGTCAGGTCGCGCAGGCTCACCAAGTGGTAGACCTCCCCCTCTGCCCGCATGAGCTTGCCAAGTGCATCGGCGAGCTCGAAAAGGCCGAGGCCGTGTCCCCGAGAAAGCGAGGAAACGATCGCTTCCCTCAGGGACATGGCCTCGACCTGTCCAGGTGGTGCTGGCCTCCCTGGGCCCTCGCCCCCCTTGTGGCGATCCCTGATAGCCATGCATACAGAAGTGCCATGGTGGGTCACACCCACTTGGACAAGCCTTCTGTCACCTGTCGCCGGTGCTGTCCCTTTTGGTTGGCGCACGCGATGAGCTCGACGGCACCGAGGGCGGCTTCGTCCCTGCGGAGCCTGCACAGAAACCACACAGAAACATAGAATGCGACGACCTGGTCATTCATAAGTCGCGTGTGTCTGTGAGGTGCCCGTGAGGGTGCTTGGGTGTGTTGGTATACAGACTTGACGAGGACGCCGCGCCACTTGAGGAGCTGCCACCGAGCTGGTTGGCCCTGATAGCCATTCACGTGTTAAGGTGAGCCACGCATCTTATTCCTATCTGTCTTACCTCAGGAAGAGGTTGAGCAGCCTCTGCAGGAACTCCAGGCGAATGTCGTCTGGGAGCTCCGTCAGGTACTGCTCGTCCGCCCCAGCAAAGGACAGCACCTCCCTCTCTGAGACGCCCAGCGATCAAGCAATGGCGCTGAGCAGGTCCGACTGGAACGGCAAGGGCTCGTCCAGGTAGGCATCATCCTCACCCTCTCCGCCGGCAGGACTCTCTTCGGCGGCTTCCTGACTCTCGGCGGGGGGCTGCGACTGCTCCTCTCCCTGCTGTGGTGCTTCTTGGTGGCGGCTGGTCGCGCTGCTCTGACGCGGAAGACGGCGACTGAGATGCAGGTGCTGCTGGTGGTGGTGGTGCTGGTGCTGGTGGTGGGCGCGGTACCGTCACGTCGGGTGGCGCAAAGGGTGGAGGCGCCGCAGAAGCGTCCTGTTGGGCCTCGCCTTCGCCCGTTGACCTCCCTGCCTGGCCGACAGCAGTGGGGCTGTGTTGGACAAAGTTGAGATCCAGCCGCACCTGTGGGGGCTGCTCCTGCGGCACCGGGCCAGGCGAGGGAGGAGCTGCCGACTGCATCGATAATGTCAGGGAGGCGACGAGGCTGTCGAAGAGGTGCTGAGTGTCTTCAAGTTGGTGGATGGGCGATGGGAGAGTGAAGGCAGGCGGCTCCTCTTCACCGGTCGGCTGGCTTGCCTCGGCCTCGCTGGGCTCCTGTTGTAACGACTGGCCCTCTCCCTCCCCCTCCCCTGTGGCCTCCTCTCTGCCTGTGACCTCCGTGTCTTCCGCAGCGGCCACCATATCGCCCTTCTGCACCTTTGGCTGCTCCGCCTCCTCGCCAATCTGAGCACGTGGCTCGTCCGGTCAGCAGATTGCAGATCACCGTCCAATATAAAATGAAGGCAGCGATTGAGGCGCCTGAAGTAATGGAAGAGACACAGACACGGCGGCGAATCATGTGCGTGTCATGTTTGTGTGTGTGTCTCTCTCTCTCTGCTCACCCTGCAAGCGCCGTGCACATTGCCTGTGGGGGTCATGGAACGGGGCGGGCGTACACACAGCAGGGGGCGATGGGGGGCATCATCTCCTGGACAAGGGTATCAGCGTACGCTGCGGTCTAGAAGTCTTCGGCGGGGTCGTTCAGCGCCCTGCACATAAAGCAGACAACAGACAACACACAGTAGCTTCAAAGGCAGCTATGTTGTGAGGTGTGCTTGTACCTATCGAGGAAGAGACGGGCACGATCCGCCCGCTGCTGCCGCGCGACGCGCTGGCGGTTCGCCCACACCTCGGCCGCAAACTCACGGCAGACTGTTCATGCAGCACGCACAAGAGACATTTGAGATGCACCCATCTACTCACTGGCTGACGACCTTACCCTCAGCTGCTCCATCGGCGACATGTCGCAAGATGTTCCAGAAAAGATCCGGAGCGCAGAGCTGGGCGGACCAACGCGTTTGAATGGATAATCACTTGCCACCAATATAAAATGAAGGCAGCGATGTGCTGAGGCGCCTGACAAGGGGAGAGACACAGCGAGGGAGTCGCTCACGGGCGCATTGTGTCTCTGCTTCTCGTGTGCTCACTTGAATGTGCAGGACTTCACAGGCCAACCAAAACAGCAGTGGTGCTCCCGTTGGCCTCCTCGGGGCCGTGGTCGTTCATCTCCAGCACTGGGGCCTCTTCCTCTCTTTCTTCTTTAGACTCCTCCTCTGTTGGTTCTTGTGCGCCCTCGCCCTCCTGTTGCTGCTCTCGCTGTGGCTGCTCTTGCTGCTCCTTGGTGGTGGGCTCTTCTGGCTGCTGTGGCTGCTCGGCAGGGATGGCCTGCTCCGGTGGCTCGATGACGGTTGCGGCTGGAGGCGCCTCCTCTGTGGTTTTGGGCTGCTGCTCTCCTTCCTTCTCCTCAGCCTCATGCCGACGCGGTTGGATGGATGGACACAAACAAAGGAATGGATGGACACCCATATATGGGTGTGGGTGTGGGTGTTGGTGGGTGTTGGTGGGTGTTGGTGGGTGTTGGTGGGTGTTGATGTGTCGGATTGGATGGATGGATGGTTTAACCACCTACCTGTAGTCTGTGCAGGTTGGGGCGGAACTCCAGCCACATCTGGGGAGGCCATCTCCTCAAGACCACTCACAAAACTCTCAAACAGCGCCTAATTGCGGTACACGAGGCAAGAGAGACATGAGGACACAATGTTATATCATCCGTTCCTCCCCATCCCTCTCACTCGGCTTCTCGGTCACGTTTGTCGAGCTCGGCCTGCATGACGGACACACACAAAGGGGGACGACACGTACATCACATGAATGAGATGAGTGGGCGCTTCGTTCGTGGTAGACACATACCAGCTGCTGTTGGGTGCAGTATCTGTAGAATCCCTTGCCGGCCTCGCTCTTGTGTCTGCACGGATGAAAATGCTCGGGCGTTGCACTTGGTGTCGCTGCAGCTTGCAGCCCGTAGATGGCCGCCGAGGCGGCCAAGAGGGCGTTGAAAAACAGGGAAAACAGAGGAGACATGAGCAAATCCGTGCGGTATTCTCTTCCTTCTGTCTTGCTTACGTACCTGAGCGGCGTGCCGCCAGATGATAAGTAGGACACACATCTGAAGTATGGCGCAGATCAAGGACTCATTGAACAGGATCGGTGATCATTCTTAACGTGCACGTGACGGGGGTACCGGCTCTCTCTGGTCGCGAGGCTGTGGTTGTTTTGTTGGACCAAAGCGTTGCCTTTCTGAAAGCAGCAACGAGAACACTGTTGCCAACAGCTCGACAGACGGCAGGGCACTACCAGTTGAGGCCTCCCGAGGAAGGTGACGTTCGGGCAGTCTGGGAGGGACACGATGGACCTCATAAGCCGATAAACAGCGAAATTCTCTCTACAGGACAACAGAAGGCCATAGAAGGCGAGCAGGTCAGACGATGGCTGCCTGCAGCAAGTGCTGTCAGATTACCTGGAGTCCGCTCACTTTAATGATGACTTTGCGCGGGCTCATTGACGTCGTGCAGAAGAGGTGAATTCAGGAGTATGACAGATATAAAATGTAGGCACCGATCTGCAGGCGCACACAGAGGGGACGAGAGACATGAGTGTGCAGAGTGAGACTCGGGATCCTGCACACGGTGGGAGATGACCTTTCCTCTGTGTGTGTCCGTCACCCCTGATGTGATCGTTGCTTTCTGCCTTCTTCTCATCTCGCGGGGCGATGAGGGGGAATCTGACAGACGGCAGCAGAGGAATGCACTGTGTGTTGGCCCGAAATTATCATGTGCTCTCTCGCTCATTTGTTTCCCCTGTTGTGGTCTGCAGCATCGAGCGGCACCACGAGCATGACGGCGACACAACCTGACTGACACACCCACAAAGAGAGACAGAGAGACGCCATCACAAGTTCATCCAAACATTGAAGGTCACGATTGGGCGCCATCGTATCGCTGTCATTTGGTGCTGTCCTGTTGCTGACTGTGTGTGAGGGGAGGACGCGCAGCATCCACAGAAGCCAGAGCCCCGAAGACGTTAAACGAGCACAGCGGTCTGCAGACACAAGATCGGAGAGACACCATCGTGCAAAGTTAGATGTATCGTGAGGCTTCCTCAAAGTACTTCGCAGCGCAGCGCAGCGCATCGGTCGATTTGGCGTAAAGAATCCGCCGAATATAAAGCGTAGGCAGCGATTCTGAACAAAACCAGACATGCACACACAGTTTCCATGTGACTTGTTCGAAGGCGGGCTGACCTCGTCAGAGTTGGACGTAATGATTGATGACGTGTGGGTATTTGCCTGAGACCAAATACACACACAAGTACGACGAGAAATCCCGAACGTGAGCGACTTTCCATTCTTTAATTAATGAATAGCTGAGCCAAACATGAAGGTCTCGGCGACCTTGGGGCTCTCCGTTGTCGGTGTCTTTTGGCCGCCGGGCGGGCTGAGCTCGTCGAGGATGACCTGGCAGTAGTCGACTTGGATGTCATGGGGTTGGGTGCTGATCACGTGGACGTATCTCCCTGCGACCACATACACACACACACACACACACACACAAGTAAGACGAAAAATCCCGAATGTGAGCGACTTTCCATCCCTTCTTAAATTAATGAATACGTACCTGCTCCATTCATGAAGTTCTCGAGCTGAAACTGCGCGGTGGCCTCCGCCAACATATGAAACAGCTCCTGCCGCACACACACATCACCATCAAGGAAGGGAATGGATGCAATCAGGAATGCATCTGTCTGTCTGATGTCGAGGAATGAACCGTCCCTTGTGTGGCTATTCTGCCCCTGGCCTGCATGCATGGCCTCCCTCGATGCCTGCCTGCCCCTCCCTCACCTCATCCATCGTGTTGTGTCGCGTCGTGCTGTTCACCTGTGGCTCGGGTCTGGTGACCAACTGCAATAATCCTGGCCCAACTGCAATAGGATATGGTCCACGTGTCGATGTACGCATCAAGGTCACCGAAGCCTTGAGCTGTCCGGTCTGATATACACACACAAGACAGAGACCGACATACACATTCATTGATGGTCGTTTTCCTCATGCAGCCAAGCTGCGAGGAGACATGTGCTCCTCTGTCTTACTTCAGCGGGTGCGATGCATACGAATTGGACCGGCGTGGGAGTGTGTATGAGAGTCTCACAGATATAAAACGTAGGCAGCGATCTGTCTGCAGACACAGAACAGGAGAGACACAGCAGATTGTCTATTGGCCTCGCAGTGATCTCTCTGTGAACTGACCGAAACTACAGACAGAGAGGCAGACACATCGCTCCCCTCCACAGCAGCTCTCACTTACCACCTGAGAAAGAAGGCTAGTGATCTCGACCCCGTTTGCCTCTTGACCGTTCCCCGCTCCCCTCCTGCTGCTGCTGCTGTTGAGCACCTGTCTCCCTGCAGGGCTGAGAGAATGGCACGGGCCGCCCAACGGGCCCCGCTCCCCCCGTTGCGGCGCGTCAGTCGACTTGACGCCATCACGCAGCCCTGAACACGGCGTGGGGTCACTGCTCCCACCGGGGCTGGGCAGCGGGCTGGTCTGCTGCACCACTGGGGCAAAGGTGAGCGACGGGAGGGCGTTGGCGGGCATGGGGGTCTCGTCTTCACTGGCCTCGCCGAACTCGGTGAGACGGAGAGGGGGCGGGACTGCACGAAAGACATCACAGATTAGACCAAAGACAAAAGGCACACAGATACATACAGTAGGTCCGTCCATCTATCAGCCACGTGTGAGCCTGTGCATGTGTGTGTGAGACGTGAGGCAGAATGTACCGGCCTGGAACACCGTGGGCATGTCACGGGCAACATACCAGAGGATGCAGGCAGTCGACCCTAAAATAGATGCCATCCCATGCCATGAAAACTCACATGATTGGACAACTCGCCTGACGTCTCTCACATGCGTACCCTTCAGCTGCCATTCGGGGATGTGGAGGCGAACTTCAGCGTCGTTGAACCGCACCCATGACAACGCACCGTTCACCACCGACTTGACGTCGCTGCACACACCACACAGACAGACAGACAGACAGACAGACATGTGCTCTGTGGATGCTCGCCCTGATGGTGTGTGAGTGTCAGTGTGTCGGGTGCTCACGCAAAGCAGTGCCCACTCGACAGACTGCCGCGCTGGTGGGTGACGGCGTACAGGTCGTACTCGCGGCGGATCGTCGGGCCCCCGAACCTGACACACACAGATGCACACATATGGGCGAGTCTCTCTCTCTTGTTCTGCCACGTCCCCTCCCCGACCGACATAATACGTACCCTGCAGCTGTCCCTCAGGCTTGTTGTCCGGCAAAAACTTTGAGGTGAACTGGTCGTCGAAACGCACCCACGACTCGATGCCACCAACCATAATCTTGACCCAGCTGCACACGCACACACACACACACACACACACAGAGAGAGAGAGAGAGAGGGACCTACACACATGTCCGTCCCGCATTAATGCCCTGTCGATCGGTCGGTGTGTCTGTCTGTCTGTCTGTGTGGTGCGTCCAGGCCGCCGTCGTGGATTGTGACGGCGTAGAGATCGAACTCCCCGCTAATGGAGGGACCCTCTGAACACACAACACACACACGGAGAGGGGAAAGCTGAACTGAAAGAGAAGGCAAGAGGGTAGATGTCGAGTGTTCGTCACGATATGAAGAGCTTTTGCTGACGGCTTACTTAGGAGCTCCGCTTTTATCTGAAGACACAGCTCGCTTTGCTGCTGAATTTCTGAACACAGACTGCCTTTGTGGCTTCCATACGTGTTGTCGTCGTTGTGAAAACTTCTCGGCCGGCTGCAAGACACAAAGATGAATTACATAGTTTTTTCAGTCTGTCTCTTTTTCTCGCTTTTCTCCGTCGGACCAAGGGATCGCCTTTCTGGGAAGCAGCAGGCAGGGAATCCGACGTGCACGTGAACACCAGACTCAAAGAGGCCGTCGCCCACCTCACCCACCTTAAGGGAAATGCGTCGAGAAAGAGAGACGGGAAAAAAGACAGAGCCACCACTTCATGTGCACGTACAAACACGGCAAGAGAAGGCATCTGATCACACCCATGGCAACGAAATGCACCATGCGTTGATCCCTACACTTCATCCACACACCACACCATCACCACACCCAAGAGACATGACGCACAAGGCCACACTCATATGTACTCGCCTGTTGGACATCGGTGTGTGCGAAAGAAGGCGCCTGGGCACTCAGCTGACGCCAGGCAGGCGCCAGCGGCTCCACAAAAGGCAGGGCGCCAGCAAACGAGGCCTCGCCCGGGGCACGGCGGTGGAGGAAAAAGTGGCGGATGAAATCCGGACGAGTTGGGAGGGGTACAGGGAGATGCGGCGGACAACACAAGCCAACAACCAGCCGAGAAGAGAAAGAAAAGGAGCAGATGTGGCCGAAACAAGGCTGGAAAGCCGAACGCGGCGAAAAAAGTGAAGAAACGGCTGCAGGCTCGTAAATATTTGTCTCCGTCTCAGCTCGCAAAATCTCGCCGCATTTGAATTTCGCTTTCTGCGGACAACGGGAGGCCAGTAAAGGCAGACAGAGGCAGAGACGATGGCTGCCGCCGCAGAAGAAGCCATGCAGAGATTGCGTGCGAAATCCGCGCACTTCTCTTTTTCGTCGGTTTGGTGGGACAAAGGTCTGACGTCTGAGATGCGCCTGTGTGGGTGCAGAGGTTCTTCATTTGACATCTAGTGGATCTTCAGCGAGGCAAAGTGTCACCGTCTCCTGAAATTCGCGAATGACTCCTACCTGCACGCATCGCGCACGGCCAGCATTTTGCCTGTGCTCCGTATGGCGGGTGAGGAGTGTGACACTATGCCGCTCACCATTGTCAATGACAACAGCAACACTGCCGGGGAGAGAGGCTGAACGAAGGAGCGTATTCGCTCATGCTCTCAGGCTTTCTCTCCGGGGGCTACTGTGGGCCGGATCGCAAGCATGTCGTTCGGAATCATGTCATTGCAACTTGAATGCATGCACGCTCATTTGTTGTCTGCTAACTCTACACCCATTCAACCCCTTTCCCCCCATTACACAGTCACAGCGGTGTGCAAAGATACAGATGGAAAAAAAAGAGTACATGGCACGCGAACTCATGCGGCGTCTCTGCTGCCTGTACACCCATCCCAACACATCTTGCTCTCGACATGCCGCAAAAACTCCTGAACGTCCTGCCACTGAACGTCTCGACACAGTGCAAGATGTCCAGGAGCTCAACCAGCGTATCGAGGACAAGACAGCGACTCATCCAGCCACCCCACCCCACCCCATCGCCCACCCATGTCTTAACTCCCCCCGTCCTTGTTGATACCGATAACCTCGCACAGCAGGTGGTTCCACGGCCGCAGCGCGCGGAACGTGTCCACGGCGGCCTCCGCCAGCGCACTCGAGGAGTAGAAATCTATGTCCTTGCCCTCCACCTTGGTGCCCACGTGGAAGGACTTGAGCTGCAACAGCCTGACCGACGGGTGGTTCTTAGCGTAGCCCTTGGGCGCCGTCTTCAACCGGTCACAGCCCGCCAGTGGATCATCGCCTGCGCAATATGTGTCGACACAATCAGCAGCCAGCATTGTTCGTGAATGGTTCTGCTGCGCGTGTCGTGTGGCTGACTGACCGAATGTCTGCTTGAACGATGCGTCGTTTGTGACGGCTCCGATCTGCTTGTCGCCTCCGTCGTCGATGAACTTGCGGATGGTGTCGAGGTGGGTGGTCGACGGGCACCACATGCCGCCGCCAAACATGCTCTCGCCACTCGGATCAACACACACGTAGTACCCTGACACACCACCACACCACAGAGCACCACACCAAGAGCACACACACATGAGAATGCCTTCCTGTGCACAGATGGGTCATATGCCGGGTGCTCACCCGGTGAGGGTGTTTTCTTGTCCCCGGCGTACGATAGGAAGGCCGACATGGACGTCTTGTACGGCCGCTGGTCGGGGGTGAAACGCAAATCACCTGCATCAGGGAGGGACACACACGTGGGTGATTCTCGCACATCCATCGAACCTTCATTGTGTATGTTGTATCGTGCGTACGGTTCATCTTGAAGATGCAGTTTTTGGGGTCGAGGTCCTTGAGTGCCGGGTCGAACTCCGCCACCTGGGCGATGATGCCCTTGACAAACTCCTGGAAATCGGCTCTCGCAGCGTCGTAGTGCTTCTTGTTGGACTTGACCCAGTCGCTACTGTTGTTGCTCGCCTGATGGGGGGATGCAACCAACGCACACAGCAGGGACACAGCACAAAACACATCCATCCATTGCTCGCCCTCCTCTCTTTGTTTCCCATGCATCCTCGCCCACCAAATCATGCAGAAACGCTACAGTGGTCTCGTGCAGGCACGGCAGGCCACCGCCATCGCCAGCGGCAGCAGCGGCGGCAGCGCTATCGTCGGCTCTGGCTGGGCCGCTGGAGGTGCGGCAGGCCTTGAGCTGACGCACCTCATCGCCGAAGAACACGCCTCCGTATGGGGTGCCCTTCCTCTTAGACATGTCGCTTCTATTTCACCACACTCCGTTGCCTTCAAGCTCGCGCCTCGCGATGGTAGATCTCGCCTCACACACGAGTGCCTTCATCGATTGGAGCAAGAGGCGATTCATCCCATGGTGTTTTTCAGCGTGATCTGGCAACCGCCGTCTTGTATGTGACTTGTGACCATCTGACGATGAGCTCTCCCGGTGTGGATCCGTCACCGTCGCCTGACTCTCTGTCACGGCTGCAGTCGCCCTACAGTACGGTGTCTGAGCCGGGGCATGAAGGCATGGGAGAGCGGCGGAGAGGGAGCAACTCTTCCACCTCACGACCTGGGAGAAGGCCAAGGTCAGCAACTTTGCTTCAGACGCTGCTTCAGACGCTTCATTAATGGCATGTTTCTCTGTCTTTGTGTGTGCGTGTTTGCAGGTCACAGTCGCTTCACGAGCCGCTCCTCGACAAGGCGACCCTCTCCCTCCACTCCTTCTTGGCCGAAGACTTATATCGAGACCCCGATGCCGTTCCAGGACTGCCAGGTTCACTCGGCCCGCCGGTGCGCCGCCGCACGGCCCCTGGGAGTCGGCTGTCGTGGCCCCCTGGTGGCCGTGAGGTGCCGTCGTTTCTGCCGCCATCGCCCCTGCCTGGCGTCAAGGAGGAGGAAGTCATCGGGGAAGATGGTGAAGAGCTGATCGAGTATGAAGGGGTAAGCCGGATAGACAGGAGAGAGAGTGTGCATACACGTGCAGTGCACGCCTCTGTGTGTGTACGCCTCGGCAGGAGATGGTGGTATTGGTTCATCGGAAGAAGGCGAATGTGTTTGACACGGTGCTGACGATACTGAAGGCCTTCCTGGCCACCGCTGTCTTGTTCGTGCCCAGCGGTTTCCGCAATGGAGGCCTCTTGTTTAGTCCGCTGGTCATGCTGGTGTCGGGCCTGTGCAACATCACATGCATGGTCAGACTCATCGAGTGCTGCCAACCAGGTGGGCGCCTACACCTAGCCACGTTCCTCTGCTGCATTGTGTGTGTCCGGTGTGTAGATCGTGAGACGTTGGCAGAGATATCGCAGGCCGCCTTTGGCCATTGGGCGCGTGTGGCTGTCGACCTTTCCTTGCTGTTCAGCCAGGTGAGTGTGAGAGAGAGAAAGGTGGGAAGCGGCTGCATGACCATGTGTGTTGAACGTAGCTGGGATACTCGTGTGCATCACTCATATTTGTGGCGCAATGTCTGCAAGTGAGCTAACCAAAGGGGCTGGGAGGAAGAAGGAAACTAACGATGGGCTGTGTGTGTGTGTGTGTGTGTGTAGGATGTGTTGTTGAGTCTGACTGATTGTTCGCCGACCTTCAACGGCACGGTGGTGCTAGTGACCTTCATTTGGCTGCAGCTCTTCCTCTGCGTGCCCACTGCATGGGTGCGCAGACTCAAGTAAGCCCGTGAACAGAGGAAATTCGTGGCCAACACACACGTGATTGGATCTCCATGCAGGTATTTGGCCCCGTCGTTTCTTCTCGCTGATGCTCTCATCGCACTCGGCCTCGCATCGATTGCCGGGTCACTGACACACACTGGACGTGTCTGCATATCGGTCTAATTCATGCAAATGTTGTGTGTGCAGTTATGCTGCGTATCATTTAGGCAGCTCGGGCACCACCAGTTCAGTGCAGCTTGTGAACAGGACACACTGGCCCGTCTTCCTCGGCTTTGCCGTCTACCTCTTCGAAGGTACGCAGCGACGAACACACGCAGATGTGCAACCAGCCGTGACACAGAGACTGCCTGGATAGGTGTCCCGGCGCTGCTTCCGATTCGCCATGCAATGGAACAGGACGACCAACACAAACTGCCGACCATACTTAGCAAGACGTGAGCAAGGCGGGCAGACTGAGACAAGGATGTGGTACCCTTGCTGCACACCCTTTTGTGTGTGTGTGTGTGTGTGTGTGTGTGTGTGTCAGGATGTGGGGGATAGTGCTCTTCGAAATCTTATTTGGGATGCTGGCCTACTCGGCATTCGGCGCACAGACCAATCCCTTCATCCTGACCAATCTGCCCAACGTGCCCGTCACGTGGACACTGCAGGTAATTACCCATACACATGAATGAACCCATCAACGGGCCCAGTACCCTACCTCGTGTGTGTGTCTGTGTGTGTGTTTGTCAGTTTCTGTATGCCATGGCCTGTCTATTGACCTTCCCCATCATCTTGTGGCCGGTTACAAGGGCCTTGGAGGGCTGGCTATTCGAAGGCACGCCTTTCTCAATCGCGAGAAAGTGACTCACACGCAGACGTACACAGAGAGAGTGCAGCTGCCCTGGGTGCACGCATCGATTTGTCATCTGTGCGTGCCCGTAGGTGGCGGAAGAACCTCCTTCGGACAGGTGTAGTTGTGTGTGGTGCGGTGGTCGCGACCATGGGCCAGAGTGACTTCAACTCATTCATCGCCATCGTGGGGTCCGTCTGCTGCGTCCCGCTGGGACTCATATACCCCGCTCTATTCCACCTCAAGTATGCAAACCATCTTACACGCACAGACGTTGCAGAACGCTCTTTTTCGCTTGCGTGGTCAGGCTGGTGTGTCTGCCTTCGTACTCTCCTGGTCTAATTGCGGGCCAGGACGGTGGCACGCTCAGTGGGGATGCACCACACGAGAAGGCGAGGCGAATGAAGGAGTGCTGGTGGGACAAGGGTGGTGTGCTCGACCTGGTGCTTATGGCGATTGGGGTGTGTGTGATGGTATTCACCGCCACGATGGCCATTCGGCTGTGGCGGAGCGAATCACCCATTAGCCATTGCGGAAAGCTTCAGTAGAGTGGTGCTCGTGTCTATTTGTGTGTTGATTGTGTGGACATTTCTGGACTGTGTGTGTTGATTCATAAAGCATTTCGTGGATGCAGCCCCGGCTCCACACATGAGAGACATGAAGTAGAGTTGCTGGCTGACAAATACAAACAAATACCCCATACGACCCCCCACACACCACACCCACACGATGACACGACGGTTCCACGTCGCCTCATTTCTTCTTTTTGCCCTTTTTCTTTCCCTTCTTGGCCCTCTCCTCCTTCCGATCGTCGGCCTCCTGATGTGACAGCAACACACACACACATAACAACATACACGGAGAGATGACGCCAGTGACTGTTGTGTGTGTGGGTGTTTGCCTGCATGAGTTGGTCCATGAGGTCCTTCTCCTTCTGCGCATCGTCCTCCGCCGCCCTCTGCCAGTCAGCCAAACGATCCTGAACGGAACACACGCGCACGCACACGGCAATAGCCAGTTGCCAGGCAGATTTTTGTGTCTCTTGTCGCCCTCCCTGCCTACCTTCATTCGGTGCAGCCGCCTTTCCTCCACAGCTTCAATCTCCAACCTGACACACACACCCATACAGTGACCGCCGGCCCACCTGTCACTGCGTGCTGAACTTACCTCATGGCCTCGAGAGCCATGTCATAGTGCTTCCTCCTGAGGTCCTCGGCATACATGGTGTGCCGCTCCATCTTCTCGCGACGCCGCAGCTCACTCTGCCGCTCACTGTTGCGCGCCAGCAGGGCCTGCAGACGACGGTGCTGCGCCACCTCTGACACCACACACACAGGGGAGAGACACGGGTCAGAGTGGCCGGCCGGGTCGTGTGAACTCGTGTGTCTACCGAGCTCGTTGTTGCCCATGTCGATCTGCGTGATGTATTCATTTCGTTCGAGGGACTTCAGCAGCGCCTCACCTGATGCCTGATAGAGCAGAGAAGGAATGCACCTGACGACAGACAGAGACGTGGCCAGTGCATGTCTCGGCTACGGGAAGAATGTGGTTTTTGAAGAGGTTGAGGACTCTGATCCCCCGGTTGTGCTCCAGCCTCGTGAAAAACAGTGTCAGGCCGCTCTCGTCGTTGCCATTCGCAGTCAACAGGTTGTTGGACAGATTGAGATACTTCAAGCTGGACGAAGCGACACACGCATACACATAGATGTTCACGTCTCCCTCGCTCCCTCTATCTGCAACACCCACCTGGTGTTCTCCTTGAGTGCCACTGCGAACGCCTTTGCCGATTCAACACCCAGATAGTTGCCCTCGAGGTCGAGCGCACCCAGGTACTTGTTCTGCCTGAGCATCTGCGCCACCACCTCACCGTCCTGGTCAGTCAGGCCGCGACGAGACAGGTCCAGGCTGAAGAGGGACTTGTTGTTGGCCAGACCATCCTGCAAAGAGAAGAACGGGCACGATGAGGTCAACCGAGGCGATGTTGTGATTGTCGTGGCTTGCCTGCATGAGCAGCCTGAGCCTGACGGGGTTGAGGTCGAGTCCGGAGAGGGCCACGTCTCTGTCTGACGTGTTGCTCTTGAGCTGATGGATCAGCTTCTCAAGACCTGACACAAGTGAATGGATGGAACAATCATCGATCGCATCTGTGTGTCCGTGGGGTCCTCACCTCCTTCCAGCCTGCTCCTCTGCTCCTCTTCCTCGCGCCTCTTCCTCTCCTCCTGCACACACACACAGGCAATCGTTGGTTATCGCCTGCCTCTCCGGAAGAATGAAAGACATGCAGTGGCGATTCGCTGACTGACCTCTTCCATTCGTTTCCTCCTCTCCTGCTGTCTCCTCTTCTCCTCCTGCTCTTTGAGGCGCCGCTCGGCCTCCTTCTGCTGCTGCTCCTTGATACGAGCTGCCTCCTCCTGCAGTGCACAGGCAACACACAACACAACAACACAGGTTTGCATGATGCATCGGTCGGTTTGTGCGTCTTACCTCTTTCCTTCTGAGTTCCATTTCCCTCTTGCGTGCGAGCATGGCCTTGGTCCTCTCAGTCTGTGGCAGAATCTCCACCACAGGCTCGAAGACCAGCCCGCCACTCGCAGGCGCATCGTTGTCGGCGTCACCCATGACGGTGGAGGAATCAACGACAACAAGCAAAGAGCTGAAACAAACAGTGGAAAGTGTCCGAACCAAAAAGAAGCAGCAACTTGAATTCACTTTCAGCCCCACTGCAAGGTAGGGTTTCGTACGTTTCATGCCCTATCCACCCGATTCTTCTGTGTGCTGCAGATCTGCACCTTTGCTCAGCTGCAGGTGAAATAACACTGTGATTGATGATCACGTGACGTGTTGCTTCGTATTTCCTGGTGTTCTCTTGCAGATGGATTCTCTCGAGCTTGCTCTCGGGTGGGATGCGGATCTCCCAGAGCCCGATGAGTCCCCTGTCTGTGAGGTGGTCTTCATCAAGAGGGGTGAAGATCCCGATAGCGTTGGCGAGGGCCGCAGACTGCGTGTCAGCAGAGAGATATTGATGGAGTTCGAGTACTTCAGAACGGTGAGCAAGGCGAGCACACAGCAAGGACGCAGGGAAGAAATACTTGAGGGCTCTCTTGTGCTTGCATTGGCTTCGTTCAGATGGAGTCGCTCTCTTTGTCGAGCCATCGAGTGCAGCCATCCAATCGCTTTGTCATTGTGGATGTAGACTCGCAAGTGGCGGCCATCGTCCTGCAGAGCGAGAGGGCGATGGTCAAGTCGCTGACCGAGGACAACTTCATCGACGTGTTGGTGGCACTGGAGTACTTCACCGGTGGATGCTCTCATAGTGTCTTGAAATGTATCGCGACAAAGGTGGGAGCGACGGACACGTAATTGATGCACACATACTCCAACCCAACCACACTTGTGGTGGGCAGAAGCTTTGTGTGTATGTGTGTGTGCAGATAGACCGCCAGTTCCTAGGCGACAGCGTGTGTGTCATGGCCCTTCTGCAGTCCCTCGACCAGCCTCCCATCGGCCGCCTCATCTCCGGCCACCTCCACCGGACTGCCCTCGCTGACATGGTGATCCACCATCCCGAGTGCATCAAGCCGCTGTACAACAGGGTGCCCGGCGATGAGGCCAGACAGGCCGCTATCGTCCTCGTCGACAACATCGATCGGTCGTCCTGGTGGCCAGCGACACAGCAGATGGGGCACTTCCTCACCGAGGCCACCAACTCTCCTTCCCTCCGTGACGCACTACGTACGTGGCCGAGTCTCCCCATTTTTACCCCTCCGTGCCTGCATCTGTTTTCTTGTCGTCTTGTAATCTTCAGATAAGGTGTCCGCTTCCCGCAAGCGCTCCCTGCACACCCATACGATCGAGCCCTTCCAGCCCTTTGGGACCACCGCCACCCCTGTCACCCTTCAGGACCTTCGCGTGACCATTCGACCCTGGAAGGTCTGTCGGTGTGCTCCAATGGACGATCAAGGCCACAAGGGTACGCCAATAGACTGATGTTCCGCATGCCACTCTCTTCATGCGTATGTGCTCTCTTCTGGGCGTCCATCAGGATTGGAGGACGAATCGGTTGACACGGCCAAGGCGCTGCACATGCGCATCGCCCAGAGCGGACACAAGGTGACGGAGGTGACCAAGTGGCAGGTTCTCACGGTGCCGGCGCCTGCATTCCCCGGGACGGCGTGTCATTCGATCAGCGGCGTGCTAACAATCGAGAGGAAGGGCCAGCCCCCCGTGACCCTCCATAGCATCGATGACTTCGTGTCACCCATGTGTGTCACGATCGACGACGAGAAGTGTCAGACGTCGATGGAGGTGGCCAATCTGCCGGCCGACGAGCTGGTGCGACAGGGGGTGGGGGATGTGCGGCTGAAAAAGGTGACGCTGCGGCTGACGGTGACGCGCTACCCATACGCGACGGTCGCATTGCACTATCTGCGCGTTTGTATTGAGCAGCGGAAGTGGAGTGAGATCAACCAGATGTCTCAGTAAGCGGACGAGAGACCAAAAAAGAGAGAGGGAGAGGGAGAGGGCAGACACAAAGACACGTCCGCTTTTGCTGTCGGTGTGGTGTGCGTGTCAGTGCACTGGGCAAGGAGGCAAGGGAGACTGTGCTCGAGCAGCTGTGTCATTTGGAGCCGAGGACCACCTCACGGCTGGCGGCCGTGGTGGGCCACTGGTGCCGCGACGCCATCACCGAGCTCAGCCCAGAGCTGTCGGCAGCCGTGGCCCGAGTGCCCAGCCCGCCCGACACCAGGACATCAACCTGCCCCAACATCCTCTCGACGTATAGTGATGACATGCGTGTGTTCCTCGAGCACGTGCTACCGCTGATGCAGCCCTCGCACCAGCGGCAGTGGTGCGAAGAGGCACGCGCCGTTGGGCCACTCTGTCAGCTCCTGAAGGAAACCAAGGTGAGTTAGTGAGTACCTGAGCACCTACTTGCTCACAAGGATGTGACGTTGTCCTAATCGTGTGTCCAGGCTGACAGGGACTGCATTAAGGATCTCCGTCGCACCATCCAAAACCTGCAGACGTGACACACACACACAAACACACACACACACACGCAGAGAGAGAGACAGAGAGAGAGGCGAAGCCATCCATGTATGTGGTCTCTACTTTTCTTCAGCGAGTCGGCATTGAAGGACGCTGAGATAGCACGCCTCAAGGCGAAACTTGGAGAGGCCTCACGCGACAGGTGAGGGGATAGAGGGGTCACGAAAGGTGGAAATTATAACCCCCCC